TGCTGGTGTCGATTCATACCAGCTGTCTCCACTCAGGCGCATCCATGCATGCTTGCGTGTGTGGTGCGCTCTGTGTGTGTGCGGTTGGTATCCTGCATGTCGGCACAGCCAAAAGCTTGCATTCAAGTGACTGGGAAGTACATGGGAGGCGATTCGGGGCCGCCTCCAAAAAATAAGCCCCTTGTTCCGCTCCAGGTAGAGATACATGATGTGTAATGACTTACCTACAAGGAATTCCGAATGTTCTCTGCTGCATGACTTCTTTTGAATAACAGAATACCAACTCTTCGCCTGCAAGAAAACAATATAAACGACAAAATGATTTCAAATACTTGTTCCGTACTTAGGGTTATGTTTTATAAATGCGTGGTGGAATAATGGAAATTTCAAGAAATGTCTACTAAATTATCGTGATTTTAAGACATTTCCGAAGGGCCTTGGGGAAAGCAACTGACATTGAATGTGGAATGTTTCCAGACTCTGAACACGGCAGGAGCATTTGAAGGTGATATGAAAGTCTAGGCTGAGATCATTTTCAAGGGATTATCTACCCACCTGCGATGGGACCTACTTTGCATCATAAGGGAAGGTTGAATGGATGGGATAATTAATTGGGGAAGGGATAAATCGTTAGGTTCTCACATATCACTGTGGTTACACACGATTTTGTCGCGCTGCGTGTCGTACTGATCGCCAGAAAAGATTGTGACGCCGCCCTTTGACCTATCCCATATTTTTTATATGATCCAATATTATGTCACAGTGCCGAGGTGGGTATATGTAGTCATTAGGTCACGAGGTGGATACTAACTAATCTGAAACCAACGCCACTTACCAAGTTGGCGAGCAGCGTGACACGGAATGCGTTCCCACTTTACGCACCGCGTGGGATTATGACGCGGTAACGCGTCCCACTTTGCGCACCTCGTGGGACATTGTGACGCGGTAACGCGTCCCACCAAGTCATCCCTTTTCTTGCGCTTGCGACTTATTCCTAAGGTCTTTGTACTCATTCTATAGGTCATACATTAGCATACTTAAAAACCACATGGCTCACAGAAAGGCCAAATATTCTTTAGTTTGGCAGAGTTTTCCAGACCTTACGGATATGTCTGTTCAGTTCATTCCTCGTTTTCTTTTCATTAACATGTTGATAAAAAGGAATAATAGAAGCGAATACAAACCTATTCGTATGGGAAGATATGTGTTTTTACTGAAACAACCACGTCCAAATTAATTTTGGAACCACTAAAGGGAAAGTAAGTAAAATTTGCCTTTTCATGGCCTTAACACGTCATTTCGGTCGAACTTCCATTACTGTAACTCCCGATAAGCTAGACAGATCGAACATTATCGAAAACAGGCTGCGCTCGCAAAATCGCTCTGGTCCCACGCGGTGCAAAAACACAAAACGCGCGATGTCGTCAACGTGTTAAAGGCAGAATTTACGATGAAAAGTTAGCTCATTGGAAATAAGGTAGAGGTGGTCAGTGGAGCAGGGATGAAGAAGAAACCATTTGAAACGGCCCGAAACCCGAGAAATGGGACCCCTTCCTTGCCCGTTGATTTGCGCATTGATGCGACTCTCATCGCTGTGCCCTCTTCAACACTACGCTCTCTCTGCTATCTAATCACTCGCCACGTATAGACCTGCGGCGAGTGATTAGATAGTCGGTGGGCGTACCCCGCCAACCGCGCCAAGAGTGAGCCATGCTAGATCGCCGAGGTCAAATCTTTCGCTGCCAATTGCGCGTCGGTCAGCACCCTCAGGAGGTCCGCCTGTCTCCCAACTATGCAATTTCCCCTTCTTTGACCTTCGTTCTTATCGTGAATTCCTCCTTTGCGATATCGTCATGAGTCGCATCAAAAGCCCCAAATCCAACGCCTGACGCTGCTCACGTACAAGCCATAATCCATGGCATAAACGTCTTCTTGATAGGTTCTAGCAAGGTTTTTGACTGCACTTGCGTCATGTTAGAGGCGACCTACCAATTTCGATGTCTCTAGTCGTAAAAAATGCCAGATCATGGGTCACCATGTTGCCACGAGTGAACAGCACTTTCGCCTCCAACGTAGGATTAACACATGTGTGGTTGAAAAATCTGAAAGTTCCAAGGCGTAAAGTTAACTTTCCAAAAACTTACCTTGCAAGACAAAACAGACTACAACTCTCGAGAACGCAATCAGAAATTACTGTCGACTTACTAACCGTGATATATTGCCGCTCCATGTGCCGTCGATTGCATATCTCTGCGTTCCACCCTCCACTTGTTCCTTCAACATTTCGTAATAAAACCTATTTATATACAGAGGGGAGTTGATGTGCGCCATCGGAGAAGTGGCTGCTTTTTTGCCTCCCCCTCCAACCTCCCTCCCCCGCCCGCTCTGTGACGCTCGCCAAACTATGCTAATCTTATTTTTGATTGTTAACTTCTCTTGTTGGCCGCTGTTCCTCATGCGAACATGCGAACGTTGTACATACAGTCAGAAATTAGTTAAAACCAT